CCCTAGTGCCATGCTCATCTTAGTATCAATGGCCTTTGGGTATAAGTTCAGCAGCCAAAGGATTACTTATGCCTCCGTTTTTCCAAAACCAGGCAGTACAGCACAGAGAGACATCATTCACTTGACAAAGGAAAGGAAAGTATAAGCATAGGGTTTTGCTGTAGAATCCAGTATAGTGCCCACTACAGTAAAACTCAGTATCTAATAGACTCCCCACTCCCACAGCTCCTGACAATAGACTGGTATGCAAAGGCAGAGCCTCTAGACCTGCCTTGGTATCAATTAGGACCCCATGAGCCCTAGCAAAACAGACTCAAGACCCAACCCACACTTTTCTGCCTATTCAGTAGTGTTGAAACCTGAATAAACCTTAGTGGCAGGCAGGCCATAGCATCTTTTGGCCTTGGTCATGTGCTGCACTGGTCTTGGAAGCCAAGGGCTTTTGCCGTAGTCCACTGATTTATCAACATCAGAGGCCTAAAGATTCTAGCTGCAGCAATCTTGGGCTTGGAGCACTCCTAGCACTGCAAGAACTGAAGTGATAATGGGTATAGGGACATAATCAGGTCCTAAGCAAGATCAGTGAGGGAAATATATCACCAAATGAACAGAATAAGGTGCTAGTGACTGACTCTAAAGAGACAGAATAGCAGAATTGATCAAGCAGAAGAAAGGATATTAGAGGTTGAAGACCAACTTAATGAAATAAAATGAGAAGGCAAGAATAGAGAAAAAAGGATAAAAAGAAATGAGCAAAGTCTCCAAGAAATACGGGGCTATGTGAAAAGACCTAATTTACGTTTGATAGGTATACCTGAATGGGACAGAGAGAATGAATCCAAGCTGGAAAATACTCTTCAGGATATTATTCAGGAAAACTTTCCCAATCTAGCAAAGCAGGACAATATTCAACCCCTGGTAATACAGAGAACACCACAAAGATATTCCTCAATAAGAGCAACCCCAAGGCACATAATCGTCCAGTTTATTGATTCCCAGTGCTGGAATCCGAGCAACCCACTGCGCCAGCCAAAACAGCAGCGGTAAGACTGATGGTGCTCTTCTGCCCAGGAATCTCCAGTCTGGCTTTCTTCTTGAGTCCATAAAAAGCGGCTCTGCCTTCCTGGAGCTCCAAACATCAGTCAGAAGGGGAACCAGTCCTGTTTACTCTGCACGAAGAGCTGCCATGCTGAGGCGCTGGCAAAACTGCTGTGCCAGCCACAAGAGTCATGCTGGCGACCTGTGGGGCTCCTCCACTGGGAATCTTCTGGTCCGTGAGCGACGAAAATTTGTCTAAAAGTGTGGCGTCTGCTCGTTCTCTGTGCTTTCACTGGGAGCTACAATCCCAGGTCAACCTGTCCTGAATCTCTGGACAGGCTTACTACAAAAGGAAGCTCCCAAACAAAGCAAGACCTGTGAAGACTGGATTAGGTAGCTGCTTCAGTGCATAGACATCAACACATGGCTACAACAATCAAGATCAGTGAGGGAAACATATCACTAAATGAACAGAACAAGGTGCTAGTGACTGACTTTAAAGAGACAGATTAAAGAACTGCCTGACAAAGTATTTAAAGCATTAGATTGGTGCAAAAGTAATTGCTGTTTTTGCCATTACTTTTAATGCACTATTAGGTTTAAAGAACTATTACTAGTTATTTTAAGGAAAGTCAGCAAACTTCAAAAAATACCAAAAAATAATCCAGACATTTAGGAGAGAAATTTATCAGAGATTGAAATAATACAAAAAATGTCAAACAGATTTTTATTTCTAGAGCTGAAAAATACATTGACCATAATGAAAATTACAACAGAGAGCACCAACTGCAAAATTGATCAAGCAGAGGAAAATTCTGGGAATTTGAAGACTGATTGCTTAAAAAAATATATAGTTAGAGGATAAAAACATTAAAATAATGAAAAAGAAATGAATGAAGAAAACTCATGGGGTTTATTGGATAACATTAAAAGAGCAAAATGAAGCTTACCTGTATTCAAGGGGAGTAGAGAAAGAAAAAGGGATGAAAAGTATATGTAACAGGAAATTTTCCAGGCTTCCCAATAATCCTAATGGCAAACAGCAGAAGCCTTATACACCAGAAGAATGTGGAATGATATCTTCAAAGTGCTGAGGGAAAAATATTGTCAACCAAGAATACTATGCCCAGCAAACCTGTTCCTTGGAAAGGAAAGAGAAAATTTTTTATGCACAAAGAAAAACTGAGGGAATTTATCCCCACTAGACCTGTCCTATAAGAAATGCATAGGGAGTTCTTTAAGGTAAAAGAAAAGGATGCTAATGAGTAACACAAAAACATCTGAAAATATATAACTTGCTGGTAAAAGTAAATATGCAAATTCTAAATCCTCTAATAATGAAATGGTGGTGTATAAATTACTAACATCTTTATGATAGTTAAAAGGTTAAAAGGCAAAACTATTCAAAGTAATAATAATTACAATAATTTGTTAAGGGAGATTTGAAATAAAAAACTGTGTACTGTGACATCAAAAATTCAAAATGAGGAGTGTGGAGTTAACAAATACAGGGTTTTTTTTCTTTCTCTTTTTGCAATTGAAGTTGTTATCAGCTTAAAATAACCTATTATAACTCTAAAGTTATTTTTTCTAAGCCCCACAATAATTAAAAAGCAAAAACCTATAATAAATATACTCACAATAAAAAGCAAGTAATTAAAACATATTCCTAAATAAAATGACCACAAAGGAAGATAGTAAGGGTAAGAAGGTCTCTAAAAGGCAGCAAGAAAACAATGAATAAAATGGCAGTAGTAAGTTTTTATCTATCAATAATTGCCTGGCATATAAGTGGATTAAATTATCCGATAAAGAGACAGAGTGGTTGAATGGATTAAAAGATAAGACCCAACTATATATTGCCTAAAAGAGACTCACTTTACCTGTAAGATAAATAACAGATGCCAGCAAGGTGGCAGAGAATAGGGAACACTTATATACTGCTGGTGGGAATGTAAATTAGTTAAGCCACTGTGGAAAGCAATCTAGAGATTTCCTAAAGAACTGAAAGCAGAGCTACCATTTGATCCAGCAGTATCGTTACTGGGTATATAGCCAAAGAAATATAAGTTGTTCTACCATATACACACATGCATGTGTATGTTCATTGCAGTACTATTCACAATAGCAAAGACATGGAACCAACCTAACTGCCTGTCAGTGGTGGACTGGATGAAGAAAATGTACTACATTTACATCATGGAGTACTACACAGCTATTTATATAAATGAGAACATGTCTTTTGTAGCATATGGAGGGATCTGGAGGCCATTATCCTAACCAAATTAACACAGGAACAGAAAACCAAATACTCCATGTGCTCCTTGTAAGTAGGATCTAAACATTGTGTACACACAGACACAAAGAGGAACAGTAGACACTGGAGCCTATTTTAGGGTAGAGGGTGGGAGGAGGGTGAGGATTGAAAAGCTACCTATCAAGTATTATGCTAATTACCTGGGTGACAAAACTATTTGTACACCAAACCCCCATAACATGCAATTTCCCCATGTATCAAACCTGCATATGTACCCCTTAAACCTAAAATAAAAGTAGAAAAGAATAAAAAGAGATTTAAAAAAAACTGGCAGACTTTTAGCTAAACAAAAAAAAAATGAAGATCAAATAAATAAAATCAGAAATAAAAAAGAGTTATATCTTATACCACAGAAATTCAAAGTATTGGCAGACTGTTATGAACAATTTTATGCTAACAGATTGGAAGGACTAAAAGAAATAGATCAATACCTGGATACCAAAACCAGATAAGGATACAGTAAAAAAGAAAACTCCAGGCAAAGGTTCCTGATGAACATAGATGCAAAACATTTAACAAAATACTCAACCTGTAATCCTACCACTTTGGGAGGCCAAGGTGGGTGGATTACCTGAGCTCAGGAGTTCTCGACTAGCCTGGGCAACACAGTGAAACCCCATCTCTACTAAAATACATAAAATTATCTGGGTGTGGCAGCATGCACCTGTAGTCCCAGATACTCAGGTGGCAGGAGAATTGCTTGAACCCGGGAGGCGGAGGTTGCAGTGAGCCAAGGATCATGCCACTGCACTCCAGCCTGAGTGACACAGCAAGACTCCATCTCAAGAAAATCAAAAACAAAAACAAAAAAACAAAATCCTCAACCAAATTCAACATCACATTGAAAAGATCATTCATTATGACCAAGTGAGATTTATTGCGAGAATACAAAGATGGTTTCACATATTCAAATCAATAACATAATACATCATATTAACAGAATTAAGGACAAAAACCATATGGTCATTTTAATACATGGAGAAAAGGCATATGACAAAAATCAACATTGCTTTATGATTAAAAATTTCAATAAATTAGATAGAAGGATTGTATCTCAATGTAATAAGGGCCACAATTGACAGACCCACAGCTAACATCATACTGAATGGAAAAAGTTGAAAACTTTTTTCTGACATTTGGAACAAGGTAAGGATATCCACTCTTGCCAATCCTATACAGCAGAATACTGGAAGTCTTAACCAGAGCAACTAGACAAGTGAAAGAAATATTAGGCATCCAAATTTGATAGAAGGAAGTTAAATTGTCCTTTTTTGGTGGTCACATGATTTTATACATAGAAATCCCTAAATACTCTGCTAAAAGGGTTTAGAATTTATAAATGAGTTAAGTTGCAGGTTATAGAATCAATATGCAAAAGTCAGTAGTATATACATATATATATACACGCACACACATATACATACATATATATAAATAGTGAATTATAAATATATGCATATATGGACACACATACATACATATATAATAGTAAATTATTTATAAATATATCTATATATACATATATACTAATAGTAAATTATATATCCGTGTATATATATATACACACACACATACATACATATATATGCTACTATATATACATACTATTAGTATATATATGTAAGCACGTGTGTATATATATGTACATACATATATATGAACATATGTATGTTCGTACATATATATGAAGAAGACACATAAATGGCAAGTAATCCCATATTCATGGATTGGGATAATTAATATAGTAAAAATATTTTTACCACTCAGTGTTATCTAGAGATTCAATACAATTTCTATCAAAATACCAATACCATTTTTCACAGAAATAGAGAAAACACCCCAAAGCGTTGTATAGAACCATGAGAGATTCTGAATAACCAAAGCAGTCTTGAGCAAAAGAACAAAGCTGGGGGCATCACATTACCTGACTTCAAAATATACCAGAAAGCTATATTAACCAAAACAGCACAGTACTGGTATAAAAACAGACAAATAGGCTGATGGAACATATTAGAGAGCCCAACAGAAAAATCCACATATTTACAGCCAACTGATTTTTGACAAATGTGCCAAAAGCACAAAATGAAGAAAGGAAAGTCTCCATAATAAATAATATTGGAAAAACTGTATATACATATGTGGGAGAATGACACAAGACACTCGTTTCTCACTATATTAAAAAATTAAAATAGATTAAATAATTAAGTGTAATTCCCCAAACTGAATCTACTGGAAGAAAACAGGGGAAATGCTTCATGACATTAATATGGGCAAGGAGTTTTTTGAATAAGCACTTGAGCACAGGCAACAAAAGCTAAAATAGACAAATGGGATTATAGCAAACACAAAAATTTTTGCATAGCAAAAGAAACAATCAACAGAGTGAAAAGACAATCTACAAGTGAAATTAGTCATAGAAAAATAAATATGTTCTTACTCATATTTGAGGACTAAACGAAAATTCAGCTAGTGGGATTCAAGTACCATTGTGGTCATTAGAAAGTAGGAAGAGTAGAAGGCAAGGGGAAGATAGGGAGAAGTTGGTTAATAGATACAAAGTTACAGCTATATGAAAGGAATGAATTTTAGTGTTCCATAGCGCTATAGGTTGAATATAGTTAACAATTATTCAGTGTATATTTATAGAAGCTGAAAGAGAAGCTTTTGAATGTTCATAACACAAAGAAATGATGAATATTCAAGGTGATAGATATGCTAATTATTGTGATTTGGTCATTATACATTGTTCATATGTAAAAAACACTCTCATAAACATGTACAATTATTATGTGTCAACTAAAAAGAATGACACATGTCAAATACAAAAAACCCTATGAGAGGGGTACTATTACAGATGAAACAAGTAAGGCGGAATATGAATTACCCAAGATTATGTTGCTAGTAAGTGTCAGAACTAGTGTTCAAACCCAGGCAGTATGGTTCAGAGTCAATGCTCTTAACCATCACACATAAGAATAGATGTAATAAATGTTTGCTTACCTAGAGGATGTAAATTATATTTTTATTCCCAGTTCTGAATCAAAATGGTAATTCAAAGGCAATAGAACATTAACCTCATCACCATCATTTAGGCTTAAAAGAAAATGCTACATATTCTACTGCAACCAGTCAGGATTAATTCTCAAATTTATGAAACTTGAAGAGTGGAGACAATGCAAAGGAAACCATACTTAGCAGCAGAACATTTATTACTATAAGCAGATTTCAAAGTATTTTGAGCAAACCATCACTTATGCTGAAAATGACAACAACAGACTTGGGAAAAAAAGGCCACTTACAGAATGAGAGAAAATATTTTTCAACTATACATTCAAGAGGTATAAGGGACTTAAAAACAACTCAGCAGTAAAAACCAAACAACTCAATTGAAAATGGGCAAAATACTTAAATAGATATTTTTCTAAAGAAGACATATTATAAATGGCCAACAAGTATATAGTAAAATGCTCAACATTGATTATCGTTAAGGAAATGCAAATTAAAACCACAGTGAGCTATCACCTCACCCCATTTAGAATCCCCATCATCAAAAAGACAAAAGATAACAAGTATTGGTGAAGATATGAAGAGAAGATAATATAAATTGGTACAACCATTGTAGAAAACAGTATTAAATTAAAAATAGAACTATCAAATGATCCAGCAATGCCACTACTGGGTATATAACTAAATGAATTGCAGTCGATATATGCAAGATATATCTGCATTCCCATGTTCATCAACATTATTCACAATGGGCAAGACATGGAATCAACATAAGTGTTCATCATTGGATAAATGGATAAATATGGTATATATTCATAAGGGAATACTATTCAGCCATATAAAATAATAAAATCTTCTCATCTGAGACAACATGGATTAACCTGGAGGATATTATGTTAAGGGAAATAAGCCAGGAATGGAAAGACAAATACCATATCATCTCACTCATATGTGGAATTTTAAAAATTGATTACAATGAAGTAGAGAGTGGAAAGGTACTTACCAGCAGCTGAGGTGGTTAGCAAGGAGGAATGGATGAGGACACGTTGGTCAAAGGTAAATTTTAAGAGATCTAATGTATTACAAGGTAATTAGAATTAATGATATATTGTACTGCCGAAAAATGTAGGGAGTGGATGTTATGTGCTCTTACCACAAAATGACAACTATGTGAGGTAATGCTTTTGTTAATTAACTATAATAGGTTTAACCATTCCACAATGTATATACATTTCAAAACACTCTTATATGTGATAAAAACATACAATGTTATCTGTCAATGTAAAAGAAATAGATTTTTAAAAGACAGGAAAAATACCCAAATTGAAAGAAAAGAATATTAAACAGCTATACATAGCAGAAGAAAGTTTGAAACTTACTGATATGGGTAAATGTACAGACAAATGCAAAATACTGTAACGTAACGGTGATGGGTAAATCACTTTATTAGGATGGTGCAAAAGTAATTTCAGTAAAGTAATTCAAATGACACAATTATTAAAAATAACTATAACTGAAAATAATGTTAGAAGATACACAATATAAGTAGATGAAAATTGTGACAATGATACTATAAAGTATGTGTCAGGGAAGACTAGTTTAAGTGTAGAGTTTTTGTATACTATTGAACTTAAGGTGTTACTCAGCTTAAAATAGAGCATTAGGGGCAGGCATGGTGGCTCACACCTGTAATCCCAGCACTTTGAGAGGCTGAGGTGGGCAGATCATGAGGTGAGGAATTTGGGACCAGCCTGACCTACATGGTAAAACCCCACCTCTACTAAAAATACAAAAATTAGCTGGATGTGGTGGTGCATGCCTGTAATCTCAGCTACTCAGGAGGCTGAGGCAGGAGAATCCCTTGAACCCAGAGGCAGAGGTTGTGGTGAGCCAAGACCACATCACTGCACTCCAGCCTGGGCAACAGTGCAAGACTGTCTCAAAAAAATAAATACATAAAAAAGCATTAGATTTTATGTAAGTCCTAAGGTAACCACACACACAAAGTATGCCTAAGAAGTTGCACAAAATAAAAAGAGAAATCAAAGGATATCAATAAAAAGCATAAATGAAGACAGCAAGAGAGGAAAAGACAGACAAGTGTTATAAGACAAACAGAAAACAACTAACAAAATGGGAAATCATTCCCTGTCAATAATTATTTTAAATGTAAATGAATTGATCTCCCCAATCAAAAGACACAAAGTATCTAAATTGATTTAGAAAAAACAAAACCAAAAAACAAGACCCAACCATATGCTATCTACAGTAAACTTCCTTTCCATTTAAGGATATATAAAAACTGAAAAAGATACTGCATGCAAATGATAATTTATGCAAATCTGTAAATAAAAGTGAGGAGGAATGGCTATTGTTATTGTAGACACCATAGACTTTAAGTCAAAAATTACCATGAGACAGAGAAGGACATTATGTAATGATAAAAGGGTCTATTTACCAAAAAGAAAATAATGATTATAAATATACACACATCTGGTATCAGAGCCCCTAAATATATAAAGCAAATATTGACAGAACTTAAGGGAGAAATAGCAATACAATCATAATAGGAGACTTCAGTACTCCACTTTCAATAATAGACGGATTACCCAGATATATCAAAAGGAATCAGAGTGCTTCAATAACACTATAAACCAAATATACTTAACATATATACAGAACTTTCCACCCAACAGCAGCAACATATACATTTTTCTCAAGCACACATGGAATATTCTCCAGAATACATAACATGTTAGGCCATAAAACAAACCTTAATACATTTAAGAAGATTGAAATGATACCAAGTATCCTTTCTGACCACGAAGTAATTAAACTAGGAATCAACAGTGGAAGAAAACCCCAAAATACATAAATATATAGAAATTAAACATTACATCCCTAAACAACCATTGCCTCAATAAGAAATAAAAAAAAAAAATTAGAAAATGTCTTGACACAAATGAAAATGAAGGCACGCTCTACCAAAAATTATGGGATGCGGAAGCTGAGTATGGTGGCTTAACACCTGTAACCCCAGCACTTTGGGAGGCCAAGGCAGGTGAATCATGAGGTCAGGAGATCGAGACCATCCTGGCCAACATGGTGAAACCCCATCTCTACTGTAACACAAAAACTAGCCAGGAATGGTGGCAAGCGCCTGTAGTCCCAGCTACTTGGAAGGCTGAGGCAGGTGAATCACTTGGAAGGCTGGGAGGCGGTGGTTGCAGTGAGCCTATATGGCGCCACTGTACTCCAGCCTGGTGACAGAGCAAGAATGTCTCAAAAAAAAAAAAAAAAAATTATGGGATGCAGAAAAGGCCGTAGTAAGAGGGAAACTAGCAATAAATGCTTACATTAAAAAATAAGAAAGACCTACAAACAACGTTACCACAAAAAGCTAGAAAAGGAAGAACAAACTAAGCACAAATATAGCACAATGAAGGAAGTAACAAAGATTAGAGCAGAAATAAATGAAATAGATGAAAACAAAACTGAGAGTTATCATTTGAAAAGATCAACCAAATTGACAGACTAAGAAAAAAAGATTTAAAACTCAAATAAATAAAATCAGAAATGAAAGGAGAGATTTACAACTGATGCCATAGAAATAAGGATCATCAGAGACTAATAAGAACAATTATATACCAACAAACTGTATAATCTAGAAGGAATGAGTAAATTCTTAAACACACAACCTGCTAAGACAAACCATGAACAAATAGAAAGTCTAAAAACTAGTATAGAGATTGAATTAGTAATGAAAAACGTTTTAATGAGGAAAAGCTCAGGATAACTTCACTAGTGAATTCTACCAAAAATTTGAAGAATTAACACCAATCCTCAAATTAAAAAAAAAAAAAAACTTGAAGAGGGGAAAACATTATGATACATATTTAATGAGGCTAGCATTACCCTGGCATCAAAACTAGACAAATATACCACAAGAAAATAAAACTACAGGTGAATATTCATGATGAAATAGATGTAAAAATTCTCAACAAAATACTAGCAAACTGAATCCAAGAGCACCGGATTTCAAACTATACTACAAGGCTACAGTAATCAAAACAGCATGGTACTGGTACCAAAACAGAGATATAGACCAATGGAACAAAACAGAGGCACTGGAGGCAACACAACATATCTATAACTATATAATCTTTGATAAACCTGACAAAAACAAGCAATGGGGAAAGGATTCACTGTTTAACAAATGGTGTTGGGAAAACTGGCTAGCCATGTGCAGAAAGCAAAAACTGGACCCCTTCCTGACACCTTACACTAAAATTAACTCCAGATGGATTAAAGACTTAAACATAAGACCTGGCACGATAAAAATCCTAGAAGGAAATCTAGGCAAAACTATCCAGGACATAGGAGTAGGCAAGGACTTCATGAACAAAACACCAAAAGCACTGGCAACAAAAGCCAAAATAGACAAATGGGACCTAATGAAACTCCACAGCTTCTGCACGGCAAAAGAAACAGACACTAGAGTGAATCGGCAACCAACAGAATGGGAAAAAATTTTTGCAGTTTACCCATCTGACAAAGGGCTGATACCCAGAATTTACAAAGAACTCAAACAGATTTACAGGAAAAAAACAAACAAGCCCATTCAAAAATGGGCAAAGGATATGAACAGACACTTTACAAAAGAAGACATATATGAGGCCAACAATCATATGAAAAAATGCTCATCGTCACTGGTCATCAGAGAGATGCAAATCAAAACCACATTGAGATACCATCTCATGCCAGTTAGAATGGCGATCATTAAAACATCTGGAGACAACAGATGCTGGAGAGGATGTGGAGAAAAAGGAACACTTTTACACTGTTGGTGGGAGTGTAAATTAGTTCAACCATTGTGGAAGACAGTGTGGCAATTCCTCAAGGCCTTAGAAATAGAAATTCCATTTGACCCAGCAATCCCATTACTGGGTATATATCCAAAAGACTATAAATCGTTCTACTGTAAGGACACATGTACACGAATGTTCATTGCAGCACTGTTTACAATAGCAAAGACCTGGAATCAACCCAAATGCCCATTGATAATAGACTGGATTGGAAAAATGTGGCACATATACACCATGGAATATTATGCAGCAATCAGAAATGATGAGTTCGTGTCGTTTGTAGGGACATGGATGAATCTGGAGAGCATCATCCTCAGCAAACTGACACAAGAACAGAAAATGAAACACTGCATATTCTCACTCATAGGTGGGTGATGAAAAATGAGAACACATGGACACAGAAAGGGGAGTACTAAACTCTGGGGTCTATTGGGGGGAAAAGGGGAGGGCCCGTGGGAGGGGGAGGTGGGAAGGGATAGCCTGGGGAGAAATGCCAAATGTGGGTGAAGGGGAGAAGGAAAGCAAAGCACACTGCCATGTGTGTATCTACGCAACTGTCTTGCATGCTCTGCTCATGTACCCCAAAACCTAAAATCCGATAAAAAATTAAAAAAAAGAAATAATTATGCATCATGATCAAATGGGATTTATCACTGAAGTGCAAGGATAGTTCAACACATATTAATAACATTTTCTGATTTTAAACTAAATTACAAGGCTACAATAATTAATATAGTATTGCAATAGTGTATAAACAGACATATAGACCAATGGAACAGAATAGAGAGCCCAGAAGTAATCCACACATATATGGTCAATTGATCTTTGACAGGGGTGCCAATAATACACAGTTTAAAAAGGATAATTCATTAAACAAATGGTATTGAGAAATCTGAATATCCACATGTAAAAGAATGTAATTAGACTTTTTTCATACATTATACTGAAAAAATTCAAAATGGATTAAGGACTTAAACATAAGACCTGAAACTCTGAAATATATGGAAGAAAACATAGGAGAAAAGCTTCATGACACTGGTTTTGACAACGTGATGGCATTAACATGACACTAAAAGTAAGGACAATGAAAACAAAAATAAACAAGTAGGACAATGTCAAACTAAAAGGCAACAGCAAAAGAAACAACAGTGTGAAAAGGCAATGTACAGAATAGGAGAAAATTTTTGCAAGCCATATGTCTGTAAAAGGTTAATCTGCAAAATATATAATAAACTCATACAACTCAATAGTTAAAAAAAATCTAATAATGTGATTTTAAAGTGGGCTTAGGTCTTAGACATTTCTCCAAAGAAGGCATACAAATGATCAGATACATGGAAAAGTGCTTACTATCACTAATCATTAGAGAAATTCAAATCAAAACCAAGATTAGATATTAGGATGGTTATTATGTATATATATTTTAAACTAAAAGACACCTGTTGGCAAGGATATGAAGATATTGGAACACTTGAATGGTGGGACTGCAAAATGGTTCAGCCACTATGGAAAACAGTGTGGAGGCTCCTCAAAAAATTAAAAATAGAACTACCTATATAATACAGCGGTCCCATGTCTGGATATTTATACAAAGAATTGAAATCAAGATTTCAAAGATAAATAAATAATAATACTTTTTACAATAGCCAATATGTGGAAGTGGCCTAAATGACCATTGGCAGTTGAATAAACAACATGTGGTTACCTAGACCTTATTAGGGCTGAAGAGTGTCCCCTCATATACCTATAATACCCATAGTAGAGCTATAATGAGTCAGCCTTAATAAATAAGGAAATTTTATGATAGGTCACAACATGATGAACCTAGAGGATATTATGTGAAGTGAAATAACCGGTCACAGAAAGACAAATACTTCACTATTCAACTTATATCAGATATCCAAAATAGTCATATTTATAGAATCAAAGAATGGATTGGTGGCTGATGGGCTGGGAGAGGTTGAAATGCAGAGATAACTGATAGATGAACTTAAAGTATCAGTCGAGCAAGTTTGATTGATGTATAAACTTTAGAAATCTGACTTTTTAAATCTATAGTCAACAATAATGTACTATATATTAAAAAATTTGTTGAGGGTAGATCTTATGTTTAGTGTTCTTACTACAGTAAAATGAAATATTAATGGAAAAATTTAAATAAAATATTAGGAGACAGAATCCCAAGAGCACATTAAAAAACAATCCATTATGACAAGTGGTGTTTTACTTCAGGGATACAAGGATAGATACTATTACAAAATCCATCAATATAATTTATATCACTAGTAGGAAAAAATGACTATTATTTCTATTGATGCTGAAAGCCTTTGAATAAAATTTAGCACCCATTATATTTCCAGTTTTGATAATCACATCAAAATTCTATACTCTACAAAAACATAATTTAAACATGTTATGAAATTATTTTCAGCAAACAAAATTTGCAACAATTCATCAACATCAAATCTTCACTAAGGAAAAACCTAAAAGATTTGTTTAAGAAAATGAAAATAAACTATTTAATATAAACTATTAAATATAAGAACAGAGATGGAGAAAAGAATAAAGAACCACAAACTTGTTAAACTAAGGAAATACTTTATAAAAATAATAATGACTTCTTAAAGTGTAATATATTGAGAATTATGATACACATTGGGATGACATTCACTGAATTTAATTGCCAATGTCTTTGTGATGGTTAATTTTATACATCAAGTTGACTGGATTAAGGAATACCCAGAGAGTTGGTAAAACATTGTTTTTTAGTGTGTCTGTGAAAGTGTTTCCAGAATAAATGACCATTTGAATTAGAAGACTGAGTGAAGAATATCTACCCTCACCAAATGAGCAGACACTATCCAGTTGCTGAGGTTAAGGTAGAATGAAAAAGAGGAAAGGTGAATTTGCTCTCTCTACTGGAACTGAGACATCCATCATTTTCTACACTTGAACGTCAGAATTCAAGTTTCTCAGGACTTCAGACTCTCCTTATACCAGGCCCCTCACACCTCACTGGTTCTCAGGCCTTCAAACACAGACTAAATTACAATCCCAGCTTTCCTACTTCAGCTTATACAGAGCATATTGTGGAACTTCTAATTCTGCATAATTACATTAACCAATTTGCACAATAAATTTCTTCTTATATATCTATACAGATATGTATCCTATTGATTCTGTTTCTCTCGAGAACCCTAATAGAGTCCTTATAATTTCCAGAAAGTAACACAATTACTAATTTACATTATAATTTGATAAATCATGAAAAATTTTTATTCTGATGGTCACACTAAAATAATAAGAAATGTATGTGTAGTGGATAAGTTAATACAGTGGAAAATTGGGCTGAGAAAAAATTACTGACCAACCCACTTCCCCAAAAAAGGGAGGACACATTAGGCAAATGGGACAAATACAAGGTAAGTAGGTAGCTTTGTTCTAAAATATATCAGCAATTATATTAAATGTAAACTTATTAAATAGGCTAATAATAGGCTAATGCAAAATTTTAAAAGGATACAGCATGTAAACCATAACCAAACAAAATTTGTATAGTTATACTAATATCAGGATTTAGACTTTAACGCAAAAACATTTTTAAGGATAACATTTTGTAATGGAAATAGGTTTAATTCAGCAGAAGATGTAATAATCCTAAATATGTATATGCCTAATGATGGCATAGATTCATAGTATACAGACAGTGCTTACTTTTCATAGTATCATGTTAACTAAAACATGTGCTTATCTGAATTGTGTTTTCATTTTGCATGGAATCATGATGTGTGTATGTATAATTTGATAGAACTAAAAATATTTTAAAAATTGGACAGAACTAAAGTGAAAAATACTCAAATTTACAGTTGTAGTTGGGGATTTTAACAAACCTATTCCAGTCACTGAGAAAACAAGCAAACAAAGAAATAATTAGTGAAGATAAAGAAAACTTGAACCACACGATTAACAAGTTGACACATATAATACATTATGTATATAGTACTGAAAGACCACACGTTATTTTCAAACGCATACAGAGTATTTACCAAAGTTTTATATTTGCTGAACCAAAAAAATGCCAATAAATTTCAGAGGATTAAAATAATACATAATATATTCTCTAAGCACAAGAGAATTTAGCAAGATTATCAATAAGATAAAGATAATTGAAAAATCCCCCAATGTTTAGTCATTACTACACTTCTGAATACCTTCTATGTCATAGAAGATATCAGTATAGAAATTATAATATATTTTAAACAAAATTGCAATAACAATATGACATATCAAAAACTTGTGGATTGTAGCTAAAGCTGCACCTCCAGGAAAATTTATAGGTTTATTGCATTTATTAAAAAGTGAAGAAAGCTGAAAATCAGTGATCTTAGTATCCAACCCAGTAAGTTAGATAAACAGTGAATTTAACCCAAAGAAAATAGTAGAAAGATAATAAAGATATAATGGCTTATTTTATGTGTCACCTTGACCAGGCCTTAAGATGACCAAATATTTTGGTCAAACATCTTTCTGAAGGTTTAGGTGAGGATGTTTTAGTTGAGATGAATATTTAAATTTGTAGACTGAGTATAGTAGATTGCCATTCCTAATGTGGGTGGGCCTCATCAATCAGCTGAAGGCCTGAACAGAACAAAAAGGCTAACCCTCTTTCAAGTAAGAGAGAATTCTTTCTGCCTGACTGCTTTTGAACTGAGATATCAGCTTTTTCCTGCCTTTGGACTCTGACTGAAACATCGGCTCTTCCTGGTTCTTGAGCCTGCTGACCTTCAGATTGGAACTATACCATTGGTTCTCCTGGTTCTCAGGTCTTCAGACTCAGACTGGAACACCATCAGCTCTCCTGGATCTCCTGCTTGCCAACTCACCCTTCAGATCTTGGGACTTGTCAGCCTTCATAATCACGTGAGCCAATTCCTCATAATAAATATCTTTCTCTATATATAGAAAAACATCTATTGGTTCTAATTTTTCAAAAAACCCTAATTCAAAAGATGAGAGCAGAAATTTAAAAAATAGAAAAAATTTTTAGTACATTAGCAAAAGCAAAAGCGATTCTTTGAAAATACTAACGAAATTGATGCATCTCTGGTAAGTCCGATCAAGAATCAGAGAAGGTGCAAAAAATCACAACCAATTTATGTTCACCTAGGAGTACAGTTGGTTTAATTTTTCAGAATCAGTCAATGAATTTCACATATTAACAGAAATAAGGAGAGAAATATATAGTGATTAAAAGATAATAAGCATTTAATAAAATTTACCTTCTCTTCATTATAAAAATCTCTTGGTACACTGGGAAACGAAAGGAATTTCATTAATATGAACTTTGTTAATTTTCCCAAAGCTACAACAATATCCTCTTTAATGATGAATTAACACAAGTTTTCCTCCTGAAATGAGACAAAGATGGCTATGATTTATCCCTTTAACATTGTACAGCTATTCACAATGTTGGTCGTTAGATGAGACGGAATTGGAACTCATACATATTTTGTGAACATGAAAACATGAAGTCATTGGTATAACCATTTTGGAAAATTGTTTGGCTGTATCAAAGTTAAACATACTAATATATTAGGGATCACTATACATTTAACAGAAATACATATACTTATTTACCAAAAGATATGTACAAGGTTGTTCAGGGCCATATTATTACATGAACTGTAAAATGAGTAATTTAATTTGTGGTAGTGCCATAACCAAAACGATGAAATGCTATTTTAATAATGAAATTGAATTAAATAATGCTACAAATATAATAGAAATAGAAGCAAGAAAGAAAGCAATATGTATTGTGTAATTCTACCTATCTAAAACTCAAAACATATAACAGTAACCTATAGTGTTAGAAGTCAGGATAGTGGTTATTCTTAGAGAGAAGAGTGGGAATATTAACTAGGTAAGAGTATAAAATAGGCTTCTGAATGGCTTGTATTGTTTTTCTTGTATTACTTGTCTTTCTCCTGTATTTCTTAATGTGGACTATAGATTCATGGGTATGTTTACTTCATCATAATTCATTAAATGCATATCTATAATCTGTGTATGTTATATATTTCAACAAAAATATTTAATTTAAAATTAGACACCTATTCCTAATAAAATAAATTTATAATGTATAAATCAATTTATAGTTCTCTAAGTGTCTCTCTCTCTCTCTCTCTCTCTCTCTCTCCCCCTCTTTCTATACCCTGTCCCTCCCTCCCCAGAATTCAGGATCTTATTTAATGGGGAAATACTAGAGGCATAGCCACTAAAGTCAGGAAGAAGGCAAGGACGCTCAACCTCTCTTACTGTTTTTAATATTCTAGGATGATTTTTTAGTAAAGCAGTTAGATAAATAGAAACAGTTGGAGACTTAAAAACTTGAAAAAAAAGTGGTATCTATTTTAGATTATATGATAATATATCTGGAATGACAAAGAAAATCAACCTGAAAATGAATGCAAACAAAAGAATTTCAAAGAGTGTATACTAAAATCCAACTATAGAAATAATACCCTTTCAGAAAAGGTAATGAAGAGAAGAACCCATATAAAATAGCACTAAGAAAGGTAAAATAACTGGATATAAAATTAGCAAGAAAATCAATATGTAAAAATCTTTTAAACTTCCTAAATGATGTAAAAGTATACTTGAATAAATGAAAGGTGGTATCCTTTGCTCTTTAATAAGGTGACTTGTTATCTTTTCTTCTGCTTTCTGAGTTTTACTTTTTTCTTTACTTTTCAAAGTCAATGCTGATATCATTAAACATTTTCAGTTTTTCTTCTCTACATACATATTTACAAAACCACAAAATTTGCTCTTAAGATTTATGTGTGTCTTATGAGGCATTTTTGTTCAGTTCTGTTTTATGTATTTCATTTCTTCTTTTCTTATTAATTATCTACAGATATATTTTTCAGTTTTCAAAATATTTTTGTCATAACTTTTATTTTACTGTGGTTAGAATATAATATCTACAATTTTTACTTTTTGGTATTTAATAATTCGTTATTCACCAAATACCTGTTTATTCAGACACTGGTCTAGGTTCTAATGATATCATGGTAAACGAGTAACCCTACTTCTTTGCCTTTATGGTACTTACTTCTATTGTGAGAGACATTTTCTGTTTAAAAAATATGTATATACAATTTATGGTTTGGGCAATGTTCCTGTTTTGGTGTGATCAAATATTATTGCAAATCTTATTTTTGTCTTGATTCCTCATGGTCACAGAGTGGACTTGTCTAATGTCACCAGATGTCAGGGGATGGTTTTCTCTTTTCTAATTCTCTAACTGATTCTAATATCATGTTTTCTAAATGATAATCTTGTATACTTATCTCAACAATTTATGGTTTTCTTGAGGTTCAGGATGTAATATTTTGTTTACTAGGGCTATTGCTAGCAATGTTTTATAAGCAAAGCAACTTTTATCTTTCAGATATTTATTTTAAGAAAATATAATAGTGTTTTAGGATATTATTTTGTTAAATCTTGGGGCTCGACTTTAGAGAGATTATATTATTCATTTTATTGCTTTAGTTATATTTTCTAAACTTTTTAGGTTGATAAATCACCTTGCCAATATCTCCTTGCCAATAGTTTTATACACTCAATAAAATTGGTTTTATTGGCTGGGCATGGTGGTTCACGCCTGTAATCCCAGCACTTTGGGACGCCAAGACGGGCAGATCCCTGAAGTCAGTTGGAAACCAGCCTGGCCAACATGGTGAAACTCCATCTCTACTAAAAATACAAAAATTAGCCAGGTGTGGTGGCAGATGCCTGCAATCCCACCTATTCAGGAGGCTGAGGCACAAGAATTTCTGGAACCTAGGAGGCAAAGGTTGCAGTGAGCAGAGATCGTGCCACTGCACTCTAGCCTGGGCAGCAGAGTAAGACTGTCCTCTGTCTCAAAAGAAAAAAAAAAGAAAAGAAATTGGTTTTGTTGTTCATCACTTTCTCTTGTATGTAAAAGGAATTAATTTGAAGTTAAAACATATCTTAGTACAGTCATATCAATTTTAAGAAATATTACCCAAATATGTATTTAATTTTGACATTTTTACTTAGAAAGTCATATATGCCATTTACTGCAAGTTAACATGTGAAAAGCTCAATTTCTGTCAAATCAATCTTAAAGTTTATTGTGTATGGTTTAATAACCAAGCATTTTTGTTATAGCTTCAAAATATATGTATATTGCTTTAATGAACTGATATTTGGAATTTTTGTGTTTTTACCGCTAAAACTACTAGCTGGTGTATTTTTGTTATTTTTTTGTGTCTCATTGTAAGATGTTGAGATAAGTGATAAGGTCTCAGGATGCTCTACAGATTTAGGTTATCCCCACCCCCTGTTCTTACCAATGGTTTTTTGAAGTTAACTGATACATCTTTATGCAGTGTATAATAATTTTCATTAGAGGAATACCAGTAATGTGTTTCAAAAAAATCATCTTAAGGCAAACCTGTCAGAAATATTTTCATTATTTTAACATTGGCTATTTTTATACTTTCTCTTCTTTTTTTTCCTTAACCAATGATAGGCTAAATTTTGTTATATTTAATCTATCATTGGTAACAAAAAAATAGGAAGTATACAAATAATAATTGAGAATCATATAACTGCAAAAGTTATCAGTATGGCTAGCATTGTTTAGCTGAATGAGTCTTAAAGCTGATCATATTAGAATCATGATCTGTTATCAAATTCTTCTATTTTAAAGTAGTATTTTATTAATCATTTATGATTTAAAAATAAATATTAATCATTTTTAATGATGTGAATCTCTAGAATACTTTTATAATCTTCTGAGTGTTCATAAACCATTTAAAATATAAAATTTAGTCAAAGAGAAAATAAGATTTAATAGAACAAATTTGAAGCCAAATTGCAGCCACATTTGTCAAGTGCATAGGACTGAATGGCATATTCATAGTTCACTAAACTTACCCCAGTTATGTTTTATTTTATCTACATTTCTATCCCATTTTCTTTTCTTCCAATTTTCAAACTTATTTTATATGATGTCATATATATATTGATATTCTTCCTCAATTCCTCTCTGAAATTAGGTGTTTATTGGTAAATGTTCATATTGAAGGAGTTTATTTGCCATATTTTTAAATGTAGAAAACCCATATTCAAGTTCTAGAAAAATTGGTATTCTAAATAAGGTTGTATTATGTGGTGTGATTTTACTTTATTATCATTAAACTTTATTTGAAGCAAGTTAAAATTAATGTTAGAATTAAGAAAATGATTGTTCTAATGTTTTCCAGCTGCTAATAGGTTATGAAAATGGTACTGTAGTATTCTGGGACTTGAAATCTAAAAGAGCAGAACTGAGAGTTTATTATGATGAGGTAAGTAATTTCTACTGAAATGTTTGAAAGAGTATTGTGACTTTGTGCCTATCTTCTACTTTTAAGCTTTGTATTTTGCCAATATGTTTAGCCTTGCAAAGTTGCCTGATTCTGACCCAATGCTTCACACTGTCTTTTGGTATTTGTGTAAGTTCCATCTCTGGGTTTTTCTCTTAAGAGAAAATTCTGCCTTGACTTCCTATTTTGGGGCCCTTTTGTGGGATCTTATGTACTTTGCATTTGTTAATAGGTCCTGGCTTGTCAATCTTATGTACTTGAGTGCCTGTCACCTGTACTATATCCCCAAATTTGTCTCAACTGCTTTTCCTTTCTTGAGGCTCCATGCTACATTGTGCTTCATTGTCCTTAAGGTCTCTAAAGACACTATTCACACTTTCCATAGAAAATTCCTTTTTGGTGGCAAAAAGTTCAAGTTTGAAAGGCCTTATCTTCTAATACTTGCTCTCTTAGATAAAGAAAAATTTTGTAAATAGTAATACTTGATAAGTGACCAGATCTTAATAAGTGACAAGATATTGAAGTAAGTTTTATTATACATAATTGAGACTTGGTTAGGTTTATATTTAGGGGAAGCAACAAACTCCTATTCATCAAGGAATAATTGTTCAAATATTAATTGTTTAAATATTAATTCCAGGCCATTAATTATTTTTCAATTCAGAAGAGGCTAACAAGAAGATGGTAAAACTGGAGGCAACAGATTAAAAGGGAAATTATTTTTTGTACCTGTGGAAATAAAGGTGATCATCTGTGCTCTTAATTCAATTTGAAAATGGTGGGAGTAAGAAGAGATGGAAGGAAATCTATGTCCAGTAAAACCTGCTCTTACATGGGAAGAGTGACAAATAATTTAAAGCAGCACTGAAATAATTAGAAAATGAAAAACCCTCACACATTTATTTTATAACACTTCTTCATTTTATCACTGGAGGGATAAAAAATGTCTCCAAATGAACCTATAGCCACCCTAGAATACTTTACATGTTTTCCCCTATCCCCTTCATAACAGTTAATTTTTAAAGTTTTGGTACTTAAAGATATAAGCCTACACCTATTTTATAAACTGCATAATTCATTCTCAGTGGTTCTCATAGTGGTAAAAAAAAAAGTTAAGAAAATAAAATGGCAGCAGGTAATTTTTTCATGATTGGTGAAAAATAATCTGACAAGTAATATACAATTATGTTCTTTATGATCACATTTTTGAGCATCTTGAATTGTAAGAAAATAAAGTCCTAGGGAACTAAGCTAGGATTTTTATTTTGTTATACAAATTATAAAGGTGGAGATGGATAGTGCTCCTCTGTCAACACTAGCAGCTAAACAAGAGTACAGAAACCATCAGAATATTCAGCCAGTTCGAATTAGAATAATTACCTCAAAAGGAAACCCAGAGGAAAATGCTGAATCAACTAGCTTTCCTATGGCCTTATAAAGTATGGAAGAAAGGTTTTGAGCCTTAAAAACAGAATCAAATTTCAGTGAAATTTTAAAATAAGGATTAGCAGCTGCCTAAGTGAGTTAGTACAGTACCAAGATATATGTAATTTATATCTAGAAGTTACTGACATCTGATATATGTATATAAATCTGTCATCTATTTATCTACTTTAATGCATCATTATATGTTCTATTGTTTTGATAGAGATAGTTAAATAGTTCATTTTACTGCCAAGCTTTTCAGCCTGTCCTCAGCACTTTACCTCTCATATCTAGAAAGCATGCTTAATACTTAACCTGAAATGGTTTCTTGTACATCACCAATACAGTGATCTCTTCTTAGTCTTTAAATTCCTCATGAAACCTGTAGCTTTACCTCAGTTTCTCCTCTTAAAATAATTTATTCACTTGTCTATGTCTTTTCACCTCATTTATTATGCCTCCTTTTTCCATAACTGATTTTTCCCTTAGCTCTCCTTTAAATTGCAGATACTCTTCAAGATACTATGTCTTCACCCTCATTTTTTCTCTCCCCAATGTATACTTTTTAATGTTTGTATCCTCTTTTAACATTTCAAACAGTATCCTTATGCTAAAAAAAATTAACATCCATGCATCTATAGCCTTTACCTCCCTCCTGAACTCTAGATCTAAATATATAACAATATATTAGATAAATCCAGCTGAATATCCCATTGGCAGTGAATTTGTATTTGAATACCCAAATCTTCTTCTATATTTTCCTCTGGTTTTTAGTCTCATTTAGTTAATTCAGTTTAGACTCCTCAAAGTAGTATTTGTCTCTTCTATGATCATGTATTATGTGCAATCAGTTTCTGCAGTCTTTTTGATTCTGACTTTTTATTTTCTCATTTATTTCCTCTTTTCTCATTCCCATTCCCAATGTCCTAGTTTAAGTTGTTATCTTTTGCCTGGATGACTATAAGAGTATTTTAACTAATCACTTTTCCTTTGATGTCTTACCTCTTCAATATATCCTTAATTTAAAATATTACAATTTTAAAACAGGTTATGGAATTCTCTACCCCAGAACCTTTGAATAGCTCTCAATTGTCAACAATACAAAGTCCCTATTCCTTGACATGATATTTAAGAACCTAATGTGATCATTCCTCTTTAGTTAAATTTATAATATCTTTCTACACATTCCCCACATTTCAGACATATTATTTGCTATCTCCTATATATAACACTTATTTCTTATCTCTGAGCCTTTGCTCCTTTTGACTTCTCATCATGAACTGCCTTCTTTCCTCTTCTGTATATCAAATCTGTTAGGTCTTTAGCCCTTGTAAAGTTTATTTGGACAATTTAACTAGCCTCTTCATAAGTAGCCAATGATGAATTGAGTCTTGTTTTGGAAATCCAAGATTATTTTCAGAAATAAATATATGAATTTTACTTTCACATTAACTGTAAAACTTTTGTTTCATTATGGCAATAATTCTTGAATAATCATGCACAAAGAAATCCCTGGGATTGGCATGAGGAAAATTTCTTAAGAACTGCTGTATTTCCTTTTTTTCATGTTGTTATCCATTTTTTCGGATTTCCTTCTTCTTTCATGTTTTCAAGAAACTCAGTCTCAGCCACTGAGTTGATAAAACTAGCTAGTGTTTTTTATTTAAAATTCTGTTTTCTGTCATTCAAATTTTGTTTGGATTAGTTGTATTATATTCGTTTTTTTTTTCCAGTAAGCCTCTGAGCCCCCTACCTTTTATTGAGAAAATAGTAGGGTAGAATTTAAGAAATAGAAATGGAATATTTATCCATCAAGTCAGATCAAATGGTAGCTACTCAGTAATGTACTATGAGACCTTGATCTCTAATAACAAGTTGGTTTTACATGCTTGTTTCTCTAAACAATAAATATACTTTTTTAGTTGTACTTACTTATTTTGGCTTTACTGTAGCTATTATTTTTACTTCTGTCCTTTCCAGTAGATAGAAATTCAGTGAAATAAGAAGGTTTAGGGCTGAGAGTGCCTTTTCTGCCTCCACCTTTGATGGCGAAACAGTTTGAGACAACTTTAAGTTAAATGAGGCTCATCAAAGTTAACATGTAGGAGAGGCAAGAAGATGTGACTTTCCCTTGAACCACCTACAGAAGGGAGAAAAAATAAGCGGAAGAGAAGAGAAAGAAGTATTTTCCCTCTAACTTCCTCTGCTGGACTCTAGCAAAAAAAAAGAAATCTCTGTTTAGTAACGAAGGCCACAGGGTGAGAGAAAATACAAGTCTAGGACTTCATGTTGCTTTTTCCATTTAATCAATTCTTATTTTCTTGATGATATGTTTAATAATTACTTTAGCCATGAATTATCTGCAACTCTAATAACACTGATTGTTTAGAACTTTTATCAATTGTATATGTATAACTTTAAGTTTGGAACTTTTGGTTGTATGTGTCTGTGTCTGTTTCAAACAATAAGTATGATGAGTATTCACTTATATTCATCTTCTCTTTCTTAGTGCTTTATAAGTGTCTTTAAGGAAAATATGTTGTATGCTTCTTTTCTGCCTTATATCTGCTAGACTTTTTCTCATGGTACTTAGTACTTTACCCAAGTTCTGAATATACTTTATTAATTTAGAAAGAATACCAAGGATGTGGAAATGTGTTTGACATTAATTACTAATTCAATCAACAGATATTTATTGGGTCCTCACTTTATGCTGGTCACTGTGTTAGCATTGGGAATACAGTAGCTTGGGAAAATGGAATACAGTCAGCCCTCTATATCCATAAATTCCGCATCCTTGAATTCAACTAACTATATAAATTACAAATACCATGATATATGTAATTTATATCTAGAAGTTACTGACATCTGATATATGTATATAAATCTGTCATCTATTTATCTACTTTAATGCATCATTATATGTTCTATTGTTTTAATAGAGATAGTTAAATAGTTCATTTTTACTGCCAAGCTTTTCAGCCTGTCCTCAGCACTTTACCTCTCATATCTAGAAAGCATGCTTAATACTTAACCTGAAATGTATTTATACTTAATACTTAATCTGAAACGTATAGAAAATATTTAAAAAACAAATTGTGTTAAAACAATATAATAATTTATAATACAAATAAAAAGACAGTATAATATATTTACATATCATTTACATTTATTGGTAATCTAGGGATGATTTAAAGTATATGGAAGGATATTGATAGGTTGTATGCAAATAGTGTGCCATTTTATATAAGGAACTTGAGCATCTGTGGATTTTAGAATCTGAGGGAGTGTGGGGTTTCTCTAACTAATCCCCATTAGATACCGAGGGATGGCTATAATTACTTTTGAATCTTATCTGACTCAAAACTAAAGAGTTAACCTGAAAATATAAAAGAAAATTTAAACCTTTTTTGCTTTAAATTGATTTAAATAGTATATACAAGAGGGGGAAACAGTGTGCAATGATTGAGAATATGTTTTTTGTAGTTAGACCTTGCATTTGAGTTGTGTGTCTTTAGCAAGTATCTCAATCTCTCAAGGCTGTTTCACCATGTATAAATTGAAAAAAATAATACACTTTCTATAGGATTAAATGAGATAATATGTATAAAATGCTTGCCATGGGGGTTGGCACATAGAAAACCTTCAGATGGTAGCTCTTACTCAAATTATTCTTTAAATTGTCTATGTTAGGAGGAAATAGGACTTCATGTTACTAGAAATTATAGTCTGATATGGGTCAGAAAAGTTACGTTATTAAATGTTATTTGTATAATAATTTTATATCAGAATAATCTTCCTTTGGAATATAGAATGATATAACCTCTCTATTTTTTCCTCCTCTACTTGTTTTTAATTATTATTTTATTAGGCTATTCATTCAATTGATTGGCATCATGAGGGCAAACAGTTCATGTGCAGCCATTCAGATGGTAGTTTGACTTTATGGAACCTGAAAAGCCCAAGTCGCCCTTTCCAGACCACAATTCCACATGGTAAGATGTATGCTTTCGAAAGAAATAAACACTGGTGATTCAGTGTCTTGACTTGAAGTAAGAGAGATGCTATTAATGTGTTTGATAGAAAAAGGTAATAGGACATAACTTCCAGTTCTAAATACCTTTTTTATACCACCTACAGATCCCAACATTGTACCCCAAATTTTCTGTATTTCTCTTTTTTTTACCAACCCCCATCCCTACTTTGTAAGCTGTACTTATATACTGTCCCAATCAAAAATTGGATAATGGATGGTTGATACATCTGAGGCAGAGGAGATAATATAGGAAATTTTGTTACTTTTAAGGGCTGAGAAGCCAGTGAGAGAATGGCACTATTCCAGATCTGACTTTTAGACTTAATTCCTATACTACTTTATAGTCCATTGTTTTTTAGATTTCACTTGTTTCCATTTCTGCCATTTGATTCCACTAGATTATGAAGATTGTGGTTTAATTGGAGATTTTACTTCTCTTATTGCTTTTCACATAGAAAGAGCTTTTTAATCCTAAATGAGAATTTTAATCTTAGTCAAGAATTTATGTTGAATCTGTATACCTAACAGGGAAGAATAAAAAAATCAAATGTATAAATATGTATAATTCAGATTACTAAATTACTTGATAATGTTGGTGATGATCTAAGTTCCATGTTTACCTCACACTATTGATTGTTTATAAGAATAGATGTATCAGAACCTAACAGTTGATCAAACATATTCTACTTTACAGTTTCTGAGCATTCGTTATCATGTCACATTTGGAAAATAGTGGCATAATTTCTGTAATGAGTAACCATAGATCACGAGCATTCTTAGAATTATTTTATGTTGTTTGTCTGCCATTGTTTTGTACCATGGTCACATGCTCCATCAGTAAATGATTAAATTATTGAAACATTCTTCCAGGATGTAAATGTTTTAGTCTTTGCTGGTTTACCTAGAGATTAATTTATATTTAGATGCTTTATTTAGAGATTGCCATGACAGAAACCTTGGATAGGTATTTGCTACGTATACCACTTAGGATTAACTATTTATTTCTATGATAGACGATAGGTTCTCTCCATCCACCCTCAGCTAACCCCCAATTCTCATGCCTTTCATGTGAGATTTACACTTTTATAAAGTGTAATATGAGTGAGTCACAAATTTTCTACTTACTTCCTTCTGTTCTTCTCAAATGCCAGTTTCTATTAATCTTTTTTTCTATACTGGACGTTTGGTACTTTCATTTTTTTTTTTTACTATATTCATATTCATCAGTTTGGATTGTTTTCTATTATTCTGCCTTTCTGTTGAAATAAAGTTCTGTTTACAGGTTGTTCAACACATCAGCATTGATGTCTTTTATAATATATAAATCAGATTATATTCCTGTTGTCTCACAATAACACAAGCACTAGTGTTTTTGATAATAGAGGCATTTATTGTCATATCTACTGATATTCTTTGGGTTTATTTTTTCCCTTTTGTTTAGCCATTTTTATTTTCTAAAATAAAACTTTTCTTTACCTACTACTTTAGCTATATCCTATGTGTTTTTAAACCTAATATTAGTAATATAATTTTAATATATAGTTTGAGATATTTTCTACAATTCCTTCTATAATTCTTCTTTGACCCATTAATTATTTAGACATATGCATTCTAATTTCTAATCATGTTTATTTTTATTATTTGTGTTATTATTATTAATAAAAGATGAGTCTTGCTATGTTGCCCAGGCTGGTCCTCGAGTGAGGTCTTGGCTTCACAAAGTTCCAGAATTACAGGTGTGAATGACCATACCCAGCCTCAATTTCTAAACATGTTTTTATTATGGATTTTCATTGTTTTTATAATGCTTTTCATTTTGTACAGTTTAAATCTTTGCTAACTTTTTGTTTGATATTTTAATTCTTAGAGAAGTGAGTTAACATTTCTCTTATAATGGCTTTTCCTTTGTAATTCTGTTCATTTCTGTTTTACGTACTTTAAGAAACAAATAGGTCAAGGTAGTTCATGGTATTTTTCAGATTCCCTGTAATTAAACTGACACTTGTTTAGTGCTATCAATTGCTGAGAGAGTGCTATTAAATTTCTTAATATGATTATAGAAGTGTATAATTCTAACTTTAATTCTGCTCATTTTTGCTCTATGTATTTTGGGGATCTATTATTAGGCATCCATTACATCTCCTATAAAGAGCATAGTCCATCTTTTATATCCACAGGTTCTTCACCCTTGGATTCAACAAAACCAAAGAACAAAATATTCTGAGAAAAAACAATTAAAAATACAAAAATTTAAAATAATACAAATAAAAAGAAATAATACAGTATCACAATGATTTGCATAATGTCACATTGTATTGCATGTAAGTAATCTAGAGATGATATAAAGTATACAGGAGAACATGTGTACATTGTATACAAATATGATGTCATTTTACATAACAGACTTAAGCATCTCTGTAGATTTGGGTATAGGAGGGGGAGTCCTGGAACCAACAAGATACTGGGGATAACCATAGTTGGGTCTTGTGCTTTTTATCTAGTCACAGAGATCAATCTACTAACATTAAATGTAGTTACTGATGAGATTGAATAGAGATAACATTGTAACACTTCACATAAAATGTACAAATCTTGCAACCATGTAGAGATCTATTTCTCTTCCTTTACTCTCCTTTATGCTACAGTTATCATATAGTACATCTAAATATATTGTTATAATTTGTGTTTAAATAGTCACATCTTTTTTTAATTAAGAGGAAAAACAGTCTTTGAATTTCTTTGCTATTAATCATTTTCATTTGTTCCTGAAAATACAAGAGCAGTATGTAATTTTTCTTGTAGGTCTACTGGAAATGAATTCATGTAGCTTTCTTTTTATGTAAGTTCATTTTGTTTTGTTTTGTTTTGCTTTCCTTTTATGGAGGCCATTTTTCCTGGATTTAGGTATCTGAACTGACAGTTTGTGTGCACATGTGTGTTTTGGTTTTAAGGTGATGAACACTTTACATGATCTCTGCCTTTCATAATTTCTGAATGAGGAATCTGTAGTAGCTTGAATTTTGCTTCCTCTTTACATAATATGTCATTTTTCTCCAGTTGCTTTCAAAATTTTGTGGGATATCTTTTATTTTCAGCAATTTGACTACTTTATGTCTAGGCTTAGTTTTTTCAAGTTCATTTTGTTAAAGGTCTACCAACCTTCATATATATATATTATATATATATGTGATATATAATTTACTGGATCATCACTTATTTCACTTAAGCTTAGCACCGTTGATGGCATTGTTCTTATAGCTGGTGGCTGCTGGTGCTGGAGACATTGATTTTTCCTCTTTACTGATTTCAAATATGTATTTTTCAATTGCAGTGCTCCCAGTTATACATGCATATATACACACATACATATACAACACATGCCTACATATATGATATTAAACCAAATCCTATCAAACACTTAATAGTGAAACATTTGCTCAGACAGGCCAGGGGTGTCCACAATTACCACTTTTATTTAACATGTTCCTGGAAATACTAGCCAATATTATTAGACTTGAAAATGAAATATATTTAAAAATTTAGAAAGAGTATTCAAAATTTTAGTTACTTTTTCATAATACAATTATACAACACAACACAAAAATGAATTAGGAAAACTATTATATGTAACAGTAGAATTCTGTACACAAAACAAACAAAATATAATGGATGACTAGAATCATTTTAGATCACAGCACCCAAAAGAATACATGGGAATAAACCTTAACGTACATGTAAAGTATTATTTCTAATAAGGAACATACAAGAGAAACTTGAATAAATTAAGAACATACCATACGTATGCATAGTAGATTCAATATTAGAAAGATGTTGATTTTCTTTGCTATTTATCATTTTCATTTGTTCCTGAAGATACAAGAACATTATTTAATTTTTCTTATAGGCCTAGTGGAAATGAATTCATGAAGATTCCTTCATCTGGAAGTTCATTTTTGTTTTGTTTTACCTTTTTTTTTTTGGCTTTCCTTTTTTGGAGGCCATTTTTCCTGGATTTAGATTTCTGAACTGACAGTTTGTGTGTGCATGTGTGTTTTGATTTTAAGGTGATAAACACTTTACATGATCTTCTGTCTTCCATAACTTCTGAATGAGGAATCTGTAGTAGCTTAAATTTTGCTTCCTCTTTATATATTGTGTCATATTATTTTGTAAATTCAATTTGTTCCCAAGAAAAATAATTACAGGGTTTTCCCTGACAAAAAATAAGCAATGGGGAAAGGATTTAACAAATGGTGCTGAGAAAACTGGCTAGCCATGTTCAGAAAACTGTAACTGGTGCCCTTCTTTATACCTTATACAAAAATTAACTCAGGATGAATTAAAGACTTATATGTAAAACCTAAAACCATAAAAACCCTAGAAGAAAACCTAGGCAATGCCATTCAGGACATAGGCATGGGCAAAGATTTCATGAGTAAAACGCCAAAAGCAAATCAAAATTGACAAAAATCAAAATTGACAAATGATCTAATTAAAGACCTTCTGCACAGCAGAAGAAAATATCATCAGAATAAACAGGCAACCTACAGAATGGGAGAAAATTTTTGCAATCTGTCCATCTGACAAAGGGCTAATGTACAGAATCTACAAGGAACTTAAACAAATTTACAAGGAACAAAAACAACCCCATCAAAAAGTGGGCAATGGATATGAACAGATGCTTCTCAAAAGAAGACATTTATGCAGCCAACAAACATAAGAAAAAAAGCTTGTTATCACTGGTCACTAGAGAAACGCAAATCAAAATCACAGTGAGCTACCATCTCATTCCAGTTAGAATGGCAATCATTAAAAAGTGAGGAAACAACAGATTCTGGAGAGGTTGTGGAGAAATAGGAATGCTTACACACTGTTGGTGGGAGTGTAAATTAGTTCAGCCATTGTGGAGTATGGAGATTCCTCAAGGATCTAGAACCAGAAACACCATTTGACCCAGCA